ATTAAAAGAAAAATGTATGGCCACTCCGGATAATTATCACTAGTCTTTTCAACCTTGAAATACATTTCCCACAACATCTTGTCTCATTAGTTTTTGCTTATGTACTAGAAAAACATGAAGAAACTTTTCTTAGTTTTCTAATTAAATTAAGAGTGATATATATTTTATGAAAAAGCTAAAATTATTATAGTTGTAACCAATTAAATGGATTTTCATTAAAATTGACAAACCATTTTAGGATAATATCTTTTTGACATTATACATATATAAATACATATATACATACAAACCATGTATAGATAGGGAAACCTTTAGGGCAATATCTTTTTAACATTATACACACACATATATATATATATAGACTATGTTTGGTTTAAAGGAAAAGATAGGAAAGTCATTACAAACCATGTATAGGTTTTCCTACGTTTCCTTTCCTTTCCTTCAAACCAAAGACAGCTATAAGGGGAAATTGAAGGTGTTCAACATCCTTCTCCTTCTAAGGAAAATATCTGAAATACATGTTAAGTAATTTTTTTATGAATTTTTAGATAGATTATTGTTGCTGCAAAATTTGGAGCCGAGAATAGGTAATAATTTCCAAGGTTTAAAGACTGCGGGTCCCACCTATTAAGAGTGAAATGGCGTCAAAGGCCCCGATACCTTTCCTAGGGGCGAAGACTCTGATAATAAAATTAGCCAAAATCACATTAGGAGTGTACATGCTAGCTTGGATATGTGCGGGTGTACCTTGAGTTGTGATGCCCTTTTATAGTTAGAATAGCCGGGAAGCGGAGTAATGAGCAAAAGCGGAGTACTCGTCCTGTAGATTGTGAATCTGTGATCACGTAGAGAGGAGCCAAAGAGGCATCGGCTGACCACGTCCCGTTCATAGGTGTGCTGGGAGTAAATGCACCGAGAATGTGTGCCTGTAATAAATTCTCCATAATGACTCGTCATGAGAGTTGCCCTATTGCCCTTAGAGGAGTGTGGAATGGCAGGGGTACCCTTGGCCGACGCCATGTATCGTCTGGTGTGTTGCCTAATATACCTACATCAATTACTATAAAATAAATTAATTTGTTTAATTAATCCCTAGCATATGGAATGTATATATGTAACAATATCTCTTATTACTATACAATAAAAATGACTCTCGTAGAATTCTGGTGGGACATAATTCATATTTGCTACTTTCTTGTTGCTTTCTCTAGGACCACCCATACATTTCCTCAATGTTGCTCTCATCCTCCTAACTTCTCTCTCCCCTCTCTGTCTGCCTTTGTTTGTTCAGCTTCAAGTAATTATCAAAAGAGTTCTTTTTTTTTTCAATTTAGATTGACTTGAATTCATACACGTGTTTTGCATTTTTTTAATTAAACTTGCCTTTGGCATTAACTAATTCAAGAAAATAAATAACAAATCACAAATTTATGAGATGTTCAACGACAAGAGCAGGGGTGGATTCGAGTCAAACTGAGTTGAATAGCATGAAGCTTGAGCTTGCCTTGAGACTGTTCTACAAGGTTCAAACTCGAGCTCAAGCTCGGTTTGAGCTAGAACCTTGAGTTCGAGCTCAGTTCGAGCTCGATTTTGAGAAAAAATGTTTTATAAAAATAAAAAATTATATATAAAAATATTTTTTTATTTAATATTTAAAAAATTAAGAATTATAATATATATATATTATTTTCTATAATTATATATATATATATATATATATATATATATATATATATATATATATATGTTCCGGCTCACAAGCCAAGCTCTAGTAGGCTCGAGCTCGGCTCATTTCATAATCGAGCCAGTGAATTGGGCTCGAGCTTGGCTCGAAGCTCGGTAAAAATCAAGCCGAGCCAAGCTTTTCACGAGCCAAGCTCGAGCAGCTCATGAAAATCTCAACTCGTTGCCACCCCTAGACAAGAGTCCCAATCTGCTCCTCACACCGATCCCACAACATATTTTCAGCCATACATGGGAACATCCCCAGTTCTTATTTATTATATTTTTATGGGAGATGTTCCCAATACACAATGGGATGTGGCTGTGAAGTTAGTATGAGGGGCAGATTTTAATTCGTTTGATAACATGGTTGATTTTATTTTTAAAAATAAAAACATTTTTTACATTAGGAAAAGCAATACAATTTTAATACGTTTGTAAGCCATTTGTGTTGGTAGAAGAAAATTTTTTAAGGGGGCATTCTTTTTTTGGATTTTGAGAGGGGGGAAAGTTGGTCAATGGGATTTTGGTTCCCATTGACCAAGAATTCCATGTTCATTTTTCAGATTAATGTGAGGACTAGGGAAAGTTTATATTCTTGGATAAACGATACCTATCTCCTAGGTGGGTAAATAACTTTCCCACCTAGGAGGAAAGTTACTGATACTTGAATGAGACAAAAATGCCCCTTTTAATAATGGATTTTTTGACTAAAATGATCATTACCTTATTTACCTGAGAAATAAAAGAACATGGGTAAATGCACTTACCCGGGTAAATGTTTCCCAAGAAAAACTTACCCAGGTAAGTAACTTTCCGCAAAGCGGAATGGGCCAAAAAGAGCCTTAAAAGTGAGTGTTGTTTAAAAAAAATTATTTTTTAATGTTTGTTGATATATTATTTGCTACATATTTTCTTAATATTTCTTTCATTTCTATGTAATTTTCTACCTTCATACTTACACTAACTATAATATCTAATTAGTTTTCATACTTGTGCGTTTATAATTCCAGCATGACAACTTGACATTTCTAAATTACTGTTATATTCTCAACAACTCTTGGCTTTACCTTCACATTTTGAAAATGTAGAATTTTGCTTTTAATCTTCCCACCCTCTCTCTCTCTTCATCCCTTTCCTTAAATTCTGGAGAAAGGGAAATACTATCCATATCATCAATTCACCATCGCAAATACTGAAATACATGTGAGAGTGGTCTTCCTTTTATCACCAATTAGGTGATTTTGGTTGTGAATAAAATTGGGAATGACGTAGAGGGTGTTTGGTTCCGTTTACATTTATTCAGTATGAGGGTGCCAAATAGGCACCACTTCAATATTTTCTCTCTATTGTTCTTCTGCATGCCTTGTGGTGCCTAGTGGCACCTATTTGTCATAAATGGTTGTAATTATTTCATTTTTTGATTTTATTAGTAAATAAAATATAAACGTTTATTCAATAAATATAAATGGAACCAAACACATACATAGTATGCATTTGATATAATTTCCATTTATTAAATAAATGTTTGTATTTAATTTTTGTTCAAAATTGAAAAAACTAATTGATAAACTGTTTATTAATAATTGGGCGCTATAGGCACTACATCAATGAAACAGTGAATAAATCCTCAACGGTTGGGAGAAGTGTTAAAAGAAAACTTCCCCATTCATAATGCACACATAAATCAAGACTTACCTATGCATACGAATTATCAATGATAAGATAAATACTAATAACATCATTTATCAAATAAACGAAAGTGATACAAAACATCGCCATAATAAAACTCACTACTCCTCACAAAGAGCGCCTCGTACCAACCTCACAACACAGCGCAGCCGTGAATTAGGAATATCATCTCAGCGCGCTGTGTGAGTAACATATCCGGATTCATAACATTAATGTCGGTGGTCAAAGGAAAAACTTACTCTCAAGTATGGATGGAGGGAAAGGCTCCTTCCGGACCTTCCGACGTGGATAATAATGCCACGGCGATATAAAAGTCTATATACCGTCGGATGCTTCAAGGAGTGAAAATGAAACAGGAGTGGAGGGAGGATGAGGAACCTTTTCTACGAAAAGCTTCGCTGCGAAAGAGTAGGCTCAATAGTCTTTCTACGCACTCTCATACACGTGTGTCAATGCTGACTTGGCACTCTCCCCCACTGCCACTACCCCTTTTTCCCCGGTCTCCAGGTTGATGGACCAAAATCTGCATCAGTTAAATTCGACGTCCAAACCAACCTAGAGTCAACAAGACAAATTCGACAGATCTGATCAGACGGTCAGAAGCTTCCCAGGATGGTATACGTGGCAATCATCTTGGGGATATAAAACCAATCACACCAAACATTTACCTGCTTGTACAGTGTACACGCTTCACTCTCAAGTAGGATCAAGGGGCAGAGGAGCCGTGTCGACGCAAAAGACATCAGCAGACCTCCTTGTCCGATTCACAAAAAAAGTCAGAAAGAAACCTACCTCCAAACCAAACACCACCCAAGGGTAGTTTCGTCTTTTTGTAACCGACATACCATACCGTGGATTTCGGATAAGACGACAGACGAACCCAGCAGCGCCGTTGGATGTAATTACTGGCTTTACCTACCCGGTGAGGCGGTGACGTCGTTGATACAATACAAATTACAAAATCTAATAAACTAATAAGCTATTAAACAAGTAAGTATCATTTTCACATGAACTCACGATGGGTCAAAGGACATGATAGCGAAAATTGCGCTTACTCAGGGCCACTCCTGTCATTTTACATTTATCAGGCAAGGAATTCATGATGAGAGCGTACTCTGCTCACAAATTTTCTCTTCTCGCATATGTCATGAGCTATCTCTTTATTTTCTAATTTAGTAAAATTTACATCCGTTAGATCTGAATAATCCGGTTCTAATAAAAATTCTGATGGGTCCAGATACGGTGTATCTTATCACGCAATGCACGGCTGGATGGTTTCCGAGAAGGTTCTGGCTAAACGCCGCGTGGTGCGTCAAAGTCAAGATTCAAGCGGAGCCCTTCCAGGCCACTAGGCCAAACGAGGAGAGTGGCCGTGGCAACGGGTGACTGGTGAGGGCTAAAATGCGCTGGGTCTCCCTGCAACTTTACTCAGTCAGTCAGTAACGTAACGGAACGGAAAGTCAAAGGGGGACAGAGTCTGGGTGTGAAGTATCATTGCTTTAGAAGTTTAGAGCCGAGTTTTTGGTCTAAATCAGTACTTAATTAAGTTAATTAATAAAATACATATAGGTAGTCTTTCTTTCTGTTGTTCGTGTCTTTGTGAGGTGAATTTAATCAGGTTTGAGGTCCGAGGGTCGCAGAAGGTGAGGAAAGTGAGAGTGCTTAGAGAGAGAGGAAATGAGAAACCGTGTTCTAAAGCGAAGGATCTGATTTGTTTGGGCAGAGAGAGAGAGAACTAGGAGGGAAGCTTAGGCTTAGCTGCTTCTGATTTTCTTTTATATGATCTGGGCTCTGGTGTAAAGATCTCTGCTTTTACGGGCGTTTTTTGCGGATATTTTGCTTGGTTTTTTGTTGGTTTTCAGGTAGAGATCTCTGGTTTCGGGTGTTCTACTTTTGATTTTCTCTTTTCCTTTTTTGAGGTGTGGATTAATAGGGATTTTTTTATAAAACCCATCGTGCTTTTTAAAAAATTATGGGCATTTGGGGTCGTTTTTGAAAATTGTTTCTGTGCAAGGAGCTGGTAGGAAGGGAAGCTCGGATTTTCGGTTCGCGCTTGAGGTTTCATGTGATTGCGAGCTCGGATTATCATGTTCCGTCGTTGCTACTGACATGTTTTTAAAGTTCGTCCAATCGTCCTCATTTCTCTTGTTCTTGAGCTCAGAATCGCTTTGGTGTCTTTAAAAATGCGGAGAAAAAACGCGGTGTTTCTTCGATTCTTTTGATTCATCCATTGTTTATTAACTACAAAGGATAAATTTACTTTTCTCCGCTTAGTTCTTCGATTTTTCCGCCATTCCCGTTTAATCACTGAAGTAAAACTGGATTTTTCTTACCTTATTGTTCGGTTTTCTCAGAAAATTGCCTAGAAATATTTTATATCCTTTTTTGTTTATTTTTCTTTTTCCTGAACTTTGATTCTGAGCTTCAGTTTGGGTTTCTTGCAGAGCTTCTGGAGATTATTGAGCTTTCTGGATCTCTCGCTCACGTCTCCGGAGGCGCCGGCGTATGAGCGTGAAGCTTTGAGCAAGCTTATATCGGTTGTGGTGAACGTGGCGTTTGTTGTTGGCACACTGTTAGCCTTGTAACTCGCTGCGGTCTGATAACAGGTTAGCCTTCTTGCCCGATTTTGCAGGCTCACGCAAAGTTGGTTTTCCAACTTGCGGTGTGATAGCATACGCAGGTGAGATGGGCTATTGGAATTGATGAGAACCAGTCAATCTTAGCCCACAGTCAAGCAACACCTTAGAGAAAACATAGTAAACCCGAAATAACCAACGGCTGATGATCTGATACTGTAGTAGATCATTATGCACGTTAGTGTTTCTTTGTGAGGTTTCATTATTCCATGATTTTCTTTGCACTTTCTCAATTTTTTTTTTTTATGCTGTCTGGGTTTCCATGGCATTTGAGATCTGGGTGTGTTAAAATTGCAGAGAAGAATCACTATATGTTTTTGTTTGATAGTTTTCTTTTTTGTGTCTTGTTCTGGGTCTCTTCCCTCTCTTGACAACATTTGTGTTCTGGGTCTCTTCCCTTTTTGGGGATTCTTATCTTACGGGGCTATTTGTTCAGTGGAGTTGCTTTTTGGGTTCTTATCTGCCTTTTCCATTTGAACTAGTTCGATCTTAAGAGGTATAAGAATTAGATTGGTTTTGCAATTGAAGAGCAACTGGGATTGTCAAAGAATATTTAAAAACTTGAAAAAGTTATATCTAGCAAAAGCTTGGTATTTTAGGCCTCTTTGGTGTCCATGTGAGGCTTCCTTTACTGGGCTATCACTTTTTCTTTGTCTGTTATTTTTTTTTGGCTTTTGTCTTTTTATATTTATATATATTTCCCTCGCTTCGTCTAGCTTTTTTTTTCCTTGGTTCTTAAGATTTGTAGCAAGAATTTTGAATAATCTCTGCTTCATTTGCAGTTAATGTTTCCATATCCATAGGGTCGGTGATCACCATTGATTCTGAGTTGAAGAAAATATATGCAATTTCTTGGAGTTAGAATTATCCTGGTGGTGTGACCCGTTTGTTAGTTTCGGGGGGTTAAATGTCATTCCGTAGCATAGTTCGTGACGTGAGGGATAGCATTGGGAGTTTATCCAGGAGAAGCTTCGATGTCAGGCTTACAGGTCACCATAGGGGCAAGTCTCAAAGTTCAGTCTATGAGTTGCATGATGAACCTGTGGTTCAGAATAGCTGCTGGGCTAGTCTCCCCCCTGAGCTACTTCGAGATGTGATTAAGAGGTTGGAGGCAAGTGAAAGTACATGGCCTTCTCGCAAGCATGTTGTTGCTTGTGCAGCTGTTTGCAGGTCATGGAGGGAAATGTGTAAAGAAATTGTCAAGAGTCCAGAGTTCAGTGGGAAGCTTACCTTTCCAGTCTCCTTAAAACAGGTTTGTTCTTGTTATTCTTTCTTTTCTGCTATTTGTAATGCAAGGTTCAGATGAAATTTTTCTAGTGAAGATTTAACTTCCAACATTCCATTGATCTGGCTGCTTTGCCATCATATTTGCAGATGTTATTTAAAGTAGAAAGGGATGATTTTCTAATAGTGTGTAGTGTTTACCCTTATTTATTACTATTATTTGACCAGTAGTTTCTATAGCTTTGCTAATCCTACTTCCTTTGATATTTCAGCCTGGGCCTCGCGATGGAACTATTCAATGCTTCATTAAGCGGGATAAGTCTAGTTTAACCTACCACCTTTTCCTGTGCCTTAGCCCAGGTAATTTCTACCTGCCAATAAGTTGCTAGTTTGTGAAATGACTGAAATCTCTGAAGTCTTTTCTGTGACTTAATTTTCTCTTATGATTATTTGTTGGATATCATCACATCCTGATACATTGAGATGTTTTGTATAGGATAGTAGAAGGCATGGAATTTCATTTATTCATTTAAAATTATATTCTTATTTTATTATAAACTTGGTTAAAAACATGGGAAATTTTACTGATAAAAAACTTGAGCATATTAATGCTGATCCATTGAACGTTGTTACAACTGCGTTTGTTAAGCTCCTGCTTTTTCCGTGTGCTTCATTTCTATAAATTTTACTTGAGAGTCGGACATGTACTTGAGAGCTGCAAGTTTTGCCCTCCTTTCTATGTTTTAGATGTGGAGTCATCATTATACATCACACAATGAGTAACGTGCAATTATTTCTCCTTTTGTGAATTTCCATTAAATAGCAATGGAGTTGTGTGAATGCGGTTACCATGATAAAGTAATAAAGTTTTGCTTAGCAATAAATAGGATCAATAATACCAAGTTACTAACTGCTAAGATCCCACCATGGAGTTTATCTGCTGGATCTAGTAACTTTCAGTGATTGCTTGGTTGCCTCCAAGGAATTCTTTCCCCTTTTCTTATCATTGAGAATAAAGGAGAAAACTGGACTAAATGAAGGAAAAAACTGGAGAAGAAGGTTTCTGATCCATGGTGGGGAAAGGAGAGGGCACTTGAGTGGGAATAAATGGAAATAGGGAATTAGTGCAAAACAGAAATATCCTTCCATCAACATGCGTATTTTCCTTGAAGCATTTCTTATTTGAGTAGGGAAAAAGAAAATATGAACTCCCAACCAAAAAAAGAACGAAAAATGATCCAAACTGTCTTCTGTCTTGCCGAAATGCATATGTGGATTTTCTTTTGATGCCATCTCATCATAGAAATGAAACCGCTCCACTAGTTGAAATACTTTGAACAAAAAGCACTGGAGTTTGTCATTTCTTGACAAAAATTCTGGGTGAGACTTTTTTGTTCCCCGTGGGGACTAGTTTGCTGCTATTAAAACATTTCCTATTACTTCTTTTGCCATTTTTGGTGTTAGTATATGCTTAATTCTCTGTTTATGCTTTCATTTTGCAGCTTTGCTTGTTGAAAATGGGAAATTCCTTCTCTCTGCCAAAAGGAACAGGCGGACTACCTGCACAGAATACGTGATTTCCATGGATGCTGATAACATATCAAGATCGAGCAGCACCTACATTGGAAAGCTGAGGTAATGAAATAAATTATACAACCCATAACCTAATAATTATTTCCTATTGCGGTGTTGTTAAGAAATATCCTCGTGATTATGTTAACAAATTTTTTGTTGATAACCAAAATGAAAATAAAAAAAAAAAAGATTCTTAGCTTAAGATTGGAAAAAGGGAAGGATCAGAATCAACAGATATATGTTTTACCCATGGGTTGAGCTCTATGGCCATCTGATGAATGATGGATTCATTTTTCTTTTTCCCCTTTTTATGCATTATGGATGGAAGACAGCATAGTAGTCTCCACCATTTTTATGTGTATATATTCCTTTTCCCCCTTTTTTGTATGAATGATGCATTCATTCCAATTGTTTTGGCATCCAAGATCACGTCCAATTCTGTTTGTTGTTTTCAGGTCGAATTTCCTCGGTACAAAATTTATAATTTATGACACCCAGCCACCCTACAATGGTGCCCATGTCTCCCCACCGGGTCGGAGTCGTAGATTCTACTCAAAGAAAGTGTCACCCAAAGTGCCAACCGGCAGTTACAACATTGCCCAGGTTACATACGAGCTGAATGTGCTGGGCACACGGGGCCCTCGTAGGATGCATTGCGTTATGCACTCTATCCCTGCCTCAGCCCTTGATGCTGGTGGGTCTGTCCCTGGTCAGCCTGAGTTGCTTCCTCGATCCCTGGAGGACTCATTTGGGAGTATTTCCTTCTCAAAATCGATTGACCATTCGACTGAGTTCAGCAGCTCCCGGTTCTCAGACATTGCCGGGCCCCGTGATGATGATGGAGGCAAGGAGAGGCCATTGGTTCTCCGAAACAAGGCTCCGAGGTGGCACGAGCAGTTGCAGTGTTGGTGCTTGAACTTCCGCGGGCGGGTAACAGTTGCCTCTGTAAAGAACTTCCAGCTGATTGCAGCCACACAACCTGCTGCAGGTGCTCCAACGCCATCCCAACCAACCCAATCAGAGCATGACAAGATCATCCTGCAGTTTGGCAAGGTCGGGAAGGACATGTTCACCATGGACTACCGCTATCCTCTCTCTGCATTTCAGGCGTTTGCAATTTGCTTGAGCAGCTTTGACACCAAGTTGGCGTGTGAATAGAAGAAGATCACCATGGCAAAAAGGAGGGACAGAGTGTAGCCCGGTGATGATCTTTTTTTTCTTTCTTCTCTCTAGGATAGGAAATGGTTTCAATGTAGCAAGTTGCTGTAAAACTCATTGTAACTGTGGTGTGCAGCACAACTGCACGCATTAGTGGGAAATCTTTACATCCTTTCTCTTTTTCTTTTTCCCATTTTTTTCATCGTCTCCATTTCCATTGTTTTATCTTCCTGGAAAGTCAACTGCATGTGATGCCTGCCTTAAATTTATTCGCCTTTTTATATATAATTTCTTCTATGTTACGGACTTTACTCTCAAGTTTTTTAATTTTTTTTCTTTGTCTGAAAGAATCCGTATTTGTATTTGCTCAAATGAAAATATGGAATGGTTCTTGGCTTTTGGGAGTCATGTGAATATGCTCGCCTTGTTCTGTGTTGTTGTCCATCAAGAACACTATAACATCGTCATTGCTTGTCGGTTGAGCTTCGTAGATTCTGCATCTTCTGTTTACATGCCAATACACACCGCATATGAATGAATTTAAGTCCAGTCAGGGCCAGTTGAGCTGACAGACCTGAATGATTATTATACAAGTGTTCAAAAATATTGCAAGGTATTCTGTATCTTATTGATATTTTGAACTTTAGATATGGGTCAGATTTTCAAAGGGTAAACACGTAAGACAAAAATATTTGACTCCTACTGGATGAAGAGAATGCATCCAATAGAGGTATTTATATAATGTTTAAAGTTTAGGGTTTAAGGGTAGGATTTTTTTTTAAAGGATAGGATTTAGGCTTCAAGGTTTAAAGGTTTAGATTTTAAAATTTAGGCCCTGTTTGGTTTATGGGAATAGAGGTTTAGAATCGGTTATTCTAATTCCAAGTTTCCAATTGGATGGAATCAGAATCCTATTTTTCATTCCTGCTGGAATGTTATTCTTTCATTTGAGGGAATGGCTATTTTCTGTTCTTTCCTTGGAAATGAAATCCCATTTCTACTGATTTTAATTTCTATTTTTATTTTTGTCTGAACCAAACAAATTATGAGAATGATTTGCTTCAATTCCGATTTCAATTATAAATCAAACGGACCCTTAGATTTAGAGTACAAAATGTGGTTAGAGTTTAAGGATTTAGACTTTAAGATTTAAAGGTTTAGACTTTAGATTATAGAGTTTAAAGTCTAGGAGTAGGATTTTTAGGGTTTAAAAGGTTTAGACCTAGGGTTCAGGACGCATGTTATACGGAGCAAAGTATTGTCCCATAAGACAGCGTGAGTGGAGCAGTTGTTCAGTTCCACCTGTGCCCCTACAGTATCATTTGGTATTGTACGACATTATTTCAGTATTAAACCATACAGAATAGTCAACCTAAATATTAAATAAAAGAGTAACAAAATATACTACACAAAACGGGGGGTATCCCTACCCCATGCCCCATGTATCATATCATTCATAGAGATATAATTGAAATGCCAACCTAGACTAGAAGAAGAACATCCCGACAACAGAGCTTAATCAAACAGAGGTGGGTGGTGTTTCCTACCCCCGTGTGTGCACAGGCTCTCTCTGTGGTGAGGTCAGTGCACCTCAAGGGCACCCTGTCCCAACCACCTCATGACTCATGAGCCCCCCTCCCCCCCGGTAATGTATATTATGTAATGCCAAAAAAATATTTAATTTAAAAAATGAAAATTTCTATTGAATGGTATGAAACTATGAATCCCTCAGTTCTCAAATCATGCTGCTTCCAAATTAAAGTTATAAAATTATCTCAGTGACAAATCAAACCTAACTTTGTTTTCCGAACTCAAATAAAAATCTAGCATAAAGTGTATTCTGATATGACATTACTTTTCCTACTCTTTGCTGTACATATATGCTTTGAAATTTGTTTGGGATTTGAATGGTTGGTGGGGCCTTGATACCTTGTCATCCCTTGTAGTCTGTAGTTCTTACCAATAATAAACTTTTATTCTCTTTTACTATTAAAACAAAAGTTTGTGGGCCTACTGAGGTTCTAAGTTAGGAATGATTTTAAGGGTTTTAAAAATACAGATACTGCATTCCTCCTAATTGAAACCAATTCCCTATTTGGTTTGCGTCCCCTCTCCCTCCAAAGCAGAAAGAAAATTCCGAATCAGCTTAACTTATTAAGATGGATGACCAAGAAAGGAAGGCTTTGCATTCTCCAACTGGTTGATGTTTGCTTGCTAGCAGCTAGCCATTAATTCCCTTCCTATAGTTACAACCCGTGTTTTCGAACCTCCGTTGAACGGGATGGTGGGATCGTTTGCCCTAGGAATGGTTCAGGCAATCGGTTTCATTTTACTCTTAACCCGTATTTTGATAAAAAAAACTGTTGATTTGGTCAGTCATCCACTGACCTAAATGATCAAACCATTAACCCATTTGACCCAAATAATAGTTTTGACTATTTTTGTTTTAATTATTTTTTTTTATTTTTTAAATTTGAAATGAATCATCCAAATTGGACGATCAAACCACTGAAAAAAAACTGATGGTCAAAACGATTCCAGTGTCAATTTGGTTTTTAAAGCATTGGTTATAACACTTTCTTTTTCATAAAGCACCACCTCATAGAAAACTTTGTATTAACACTGTTTGACCTACTTGGCTCAGCAGTTGCAATGTTGCTTTCATACAGTGACTCATTGATTCAAAACCGGCGATAGTAGGTAAAAGTGGCTAAAACCCATTCCTTTGTTTGCAGCAGAATTCACTTCAACTTGTAGTCATACCCCCTAGAATATTTCCATTTTTCCCATACCAACCAATGAGATGATCTCACATCAAGGATGGTCCACATCAGATTAAGAAGAAAGCTCTGAACATGAAATAGAACCCAATCAACATTAGAGCAGAAATCTCGATTATACTGGACCCCAACTTTGATTGGGACTGACTCTATTTCTTGTTTATGGTCAATCTGAAAGGGACCACCCTTTGATGTGGGATCAGTGGTCAGTATGTGGGATGCACGTAAATCAAGAGTGAACTTAGCGGTGCAAATGAATCGGATCATGATTTGATTCTATTTGGTCGAATTTGAATCACTCTAGTCAGATTTTTGGATCGGATATTAAGATCATCCCCTATCCGATCCAATGTATTATATATTTATAAATATAAATATATTATTTATATTGCATTTTTATAAATTTATTATATTATTTATTTTTTATAAAAATATGTATACATATGATGAAAATAATTAGTTTTTTTTTTGTATTTTTTGTTTTTTATTTAAATTGGTAAGTTTTATTTTTTTAATAATTTATTATTTTTTAAAGAAAATAAATCGGATCAAATCAGACCCAGAGATCCGATAGGATTCGAATTTAGTTCGAGTTCTATCAGATCTGATCGGATCAGATCGGATCCAACATGAACAATATCGGATCAGATTTGAATATATCCTAATTCAAATCTGATTCAATCTGTTTGCATCCCTAAGTGAACTCATGGATGTGTGCCTTGTGCTAAATTAGATCGCTCGAGCATACTGCAGGATAGAGAGCAATAGAAATCTATTTTTGATAGTCCTCTCCCTTGATTAAAGTTGCTGGACTAAGAAGCTCTCGAAGCTAAAGGGCGCATCAATTCACAAGATTAGGGGTGTCAATGGATCGGTTTTGGATTGGATCTCGTCCAATCCAAAATCAATTTGGATGGATTGGATAGACCAACAAGACATATTGAATTGGACCAATTCAGACTTAAATGGTCCAAATTATTTATTGGATTGGATTGGACCTGGTTCATCCATAATGAATTTATATTAGAATATTGGGTTGGATTGAGCCAATATCTAATCCAATAATATTGGACTTGGTCCAAAATTATCTAAAATATTCATTGGGTTGGATTGGGCCTGATCCATTTGTAATGGATTCACATTGGACTGGATTGGACTGAACCAAATCCAGTCCAATTGACACTCCTATACGAAACTCCTGCCGATCCAAGATCTAGCAAATGACAACAACCTTACCCCTAGCTGTTTTCAAGATTTAAACCCTGCACATACAGAGAAGCTATGAAAATTGCACAAGTAAGATTTCATCCAGGAAAAACCAAAGCTTATGAGGAAAAGCTGTGGATGAATGACCCAGTATTTAGTAATCTTTTCTAAGCCATTTGTTGAGTAGATCATACAGCTGCATCCAACTAGTAAGACCACTCAGCCAGGAAAATATAAGCGGTATTTAGTAATCTTCCTCTCCTTCATTGTGCATACGCAAAGAAACAACTCTACGAAGCAGACAGATGGAATAATCCCAATCCATAGGTTCTGTCTTGTGGAACATACAAATGTGACACATTGTATGGTCAGTGTCATCCAATCTGGCAGATTTGTCCTTTAGGATGTTGTCTAGAGGCATTACAAACTTCAAACCTTATCCACCTTACTACATCTATGTAAAGAGTGTCAATGGATTGGGTATAGGTTGGAATCAAAATCAATTTGAATGGGATGGACGGACCAATAATACAGATTGAATTGGACCAGTCCTCACTTAATGGGCGAAAGTATTTATTGGATTGGACTTGATGCATCTGTAATGATTTATATTAGACTGAATCGGATTGAATTAATGTCTGCATAATTCATTCACAAAAATTAAAATTAATTTGAATAAATTGAACGGTTTAGACATTGAATTAGAGCAGCCCAAAATGGTTCAAAAGTATTCATTAGATTGGATTAGACCTGGTCATTCTATAATGGATTCATATTAGGCTGGGTCGGATTGGATCAATATCGAGTCCATTAACAACCCAAGACTGAGCTCCTCGGTAAAGATGGACTTCTTTTTTCTTGAATGCCTTGGTGTTTATATACGAATACAAAATGGGTTAGGCCCGGCCAAGACCATCAGATCCTTGGGGAATCTTAGGATCTGTTTGGAAACGTTCCACGAGAGTGTTTCTCTCATTCTCGATGCTCTTGCAGAACAAAAACATGTTTGACAAAAAAAAAAAGCAAGAAACAAGTCATTCTCGAGTGAGAATAGCGCCCAAAAAACATGTTCTTTGGGAGTGACAAATTGACACTCCCGGAGAACATGTTCTCAAGGAACGCGCGGTTCTCACATCGTCCCATTTTATTTACGAACACGTATTCGCCCTTCCCATGGAGAGAAGGGGCAACATTGTCATTTCACATTGACGACATAAACTCTCCACCCCTTCAAGCGCTAGTATGAGCAACTTTTTTAACCAAAGTTAAGGCATTGGAACATAAGGTAGTTGAAGCATTTAATGATGGGGCCTACACTTAGCA